GGGGGCGCGCCACCCTCCCGGCAACTCCGTGTGTCCGTTGACCTGCCCGGAGGCTCCTGAGCCCCTTTCCTTGGGGTCTTTGTGGAGACCCCGTGACACAGGTGTGGTTGATGAGATCATCGGTCCTGGGTGATCAGCTCGGTCTCCCACCTGCTAATCACAGGTTGCGTCCCCCGAACACCAGCCCCCAAGGCCCAAGGGTCACCTGCTTGGTGGGAACCCAGGTAAGGTTGAAAGGGGCTTGTCATGCACAAACAGCAGTCTCCTCTCCGCGCCCACACATGGAAGGACAAGGAAAATGCAGAGTACACCCAACGTGGCTGGAGGCAAAAGCGCATTCAGGAAAGGAAAGCCGGGGCTGTGCAATGATGGTCACGTGCAGAATGCCAGCAGAGCTGCCTGGCCCAGGGGGCCTGTCCAGAATGGCCAGCCCCACACCACTTCCCCAGCCTAAGCTGCAAGACTGCCATCCTCCCCTGACGAAACCCACATCTCGGCCCCTCCACGACAATCCCAGGTTAAAGCCCGGGTCAGGGCCACCATCTGAGCTCTGGCCAGAGTGACGTCGGGTTTGGGGATCTCACTCGTGAGAAGCTGCCCACCAAAGATAAACTGGCCGGCTGCAGAACAGGGCCCCTAGGAGACACGGGCCCCAAGCCGTCAACGGGGAAAACACATTGGACACAACAAATAGGGCTCCGACCTCCTCACAACGTCCGGGGACCCTGGGCTAGCGCTGGTCAGGTCAGCCTCACCGGAAAAGCCCCGAGCAGCACAGGACCGCGGGGCCGGCGGCTAGGACCGCCCCGCTCGCCCGCGGCCCCGCCCGCAGGGAGCCCCGCCCACGAGGAGCCCCGCCCCGCCGAACGCCCGCGGTTGCCATGGTTTCCACGGCGCCGGCGGGAATCCGGGCCTCAAGCCAGCCTCCCTTAGGCCCCCTCGTTCCTCTCTAGCGCTGGGCGCCCAAGCGACGCCGCGAGATCCCCCAGCACGCGGACCCCGCCAAGATCGGTGCTCCCACCGCGGCTGCCGGCTGCAGTGCGCAGGGGCCGGCCTCCCCCGAGGCAGCGCGCATGCACCGTAGTACTTCTGCGCGAGGAGAGGGTGCGTCACCATCTCTTAAGTCTCGCGGGTAGAAAGCCTGACAACGGCGCCGCTGGTGTAGTGGTATCATGCAAGATTCCCATTCTTGCGACCCGGGTTCGATTCCCGGGCGGCGCAAGCATTCGTTTTAGTTTTCCCCCATGTCGACTAGACGGACTCGCTGACGACTGCAATTTCAAAAGAAAATCAGAACCGGGGAAGCACCAATTCTAGTGCAGCGCGAACGAGACGATTTCAGAGAACAAGAGCTTTGAAAATACCAGAGCGGCCACGGACACCTGGGCTCTGAGCTGATGGTCACCTGTAAACCAGTGACCCCAACTCAGTGCCCAGTCCCCTCGGCTTGGCTGCCGCTCCGGGTGCGACTCCCGCGGCTGCGGGCCCCTTAACGCGCTGCGCGCCTCCTCCTGGGAATTGTAGTCTTTGGGGAGGCCGGACCACAGCTTCCGGCAGGGTTCGCGGCGACGGACTACGGCTCCCGGCGGGCCTCGCGGCGACGGAGTACGGAGACCCGCGGGCCGGCTGAGCTGCTGCGATGCTGGTGGCTGCGGCCGCAGAGCGGAACAAGGAGCCTATCCTGCGCGTGCTGCGGCAGTACATGGACCCGGCCCAGCGCGGTGTTCGAGTGCTCGAGGTGGCCTCTGGCTCCGGCCAACACACGGCCCACTTCGCGCGGGCCTTCCCCCACGCCGAGTGGCAGCCGTCCGACGTGGACCAGCGCTGCCTGGACAGGTGCGGAAGGGCTCCCGGAAGGCCGGGTCCCGGCTGGTGAAAGTGGGCGGGAAGCAAGGGCAGGTGGAGCGGGGCCTGTCCCGCTGTCCAGACTCCTCACGCCACCCAGACCCCTCGAAGGTCCCCCAACCAGGTGCTGCCCTTCCACAGCATCTCGGCCACCACTCAGGCTCAGGGCCTGTCCAACGTGAAGGCCCCGCTGTACCTGGACGTGACCTGGGATTGGGAGCATTGGGGCGGAATCCTTCCCCAGTCGCTGGACCTGCTGCTCTGCATCAACATGATCCACATCAGCCCCCTCAACTGCACCGAGGTCTGTGGGAGCAGGTCTGTGGGCCATGCAGCACCCCTCCCGGTGCAGCAGGAGGGAGCAGGGCGGCGGTCTGCCCCACGTCTCAGATGGGGCACTGAGGACTCTTTCAGGTGCGTGGGGGAGAGAACGCTCTTCAGCGGTGCCCTGTTTTCTCACTCCCCAGGGGCTCTTCAGAGCAGCAGGACACCTGCTCAAACCCAAGGCGCTGCTGATCACCTATGGGGTTAGTGTCCCTGCCGGAGATGGTGGGCCTCCCCTGGCAGGCCAGTCCTGACCCCGATCCCAGCCAGTCTATGCTGAGCTCTCCTTTCTGGACTCTCTCATTTTGGTTTCGGTATTTTCGGTTGCTTTCTCCCACCACTGCTTGTCACCGTTAAACCCCACCCGGTGTCTTCTTTCTCGAACTCCCTCCTGGTCACCTGCCAGGCTCCCTGCAACCCCTTGGCTCACCAGCTGGTCCTCAGCTGTCCCCCATCTTGGGGGCAGGGAGGGCTGTGTTCTTTTCTTTGTCTGAGTGCCAGCATGCCAGTCTGCCTGTTTGCTGAGGAATGGCTGACCCTGTGTCTGTGGGTGGCCGGCAGAGCTGTCTTCCCGTCTCCACAGCCTTATGCCATCAATGGGAAGATCACTCCGCAGAGTAACGTGGACTTTGATCTCACTCTCAGATGCAGGTCAGAGCTGGATAGGTGGGGGGCCTGGCTGGGAGGGCAGGTGGGCTGGGTGACACCCCCCCAGCCACAACTCCACCTTCTCCCCTACCTCCTTCCCACTGCAGGAACCCCGAGTGGGGGCTGC